GCAGGTACCAATAACATTTCCATTGTGAGACTTGTTGTTACTATTTTTTGGCATATCGAATATGCCATGGGGAGCTTGCCAAGCTCTGCCATGTGGGTGGGATACTCTCGGTAGCTTGCCAGGCTCTTGGAGAAGGATGGAGGAATCGAACCCAGGTCAGCCACGTGCAAGGCAAACACCCTACCTGCTGTGCTATCGTTCCAGCCCCCAAAAAAAAATCAAAATTATGTAATAAAAAGAAAAAACATATCTTCCAATTTTAGTAAATAAACTGAATTCTATGATTATTTCTCGTTTGATAAAATATATTCTTCTCTAACAAAAGCAACCGATGCTGGTGCAGATGTGGCGAGAAAGGAAAACTCCTTCACTGTTGGTGGGAATGTCGACTGGTTCAGCCCTTTTGGAAAACAGTATGACAATTCTCAAAAAATTAGAAATTGAGCTCCCATTTGACCCAGCAATACCACTCCTGGGAATATATCCCAGAGAGACAAAAATGTATAGTCGAAGTGACATCTGCACTTGTTTGTTCATTGCAGCACTCTTTACAATAGCCAGAATCTGGAAAAAACCTGATTGCCCAAGAACGGATGACTAGTTAAAGAAACTTTGGTACATCTACACAATGGAGTACTATGTAGCTGCTAGAAAAGATGAAGTCATGAAATTTTCTTACAAGTGGTACTACATGGAAAGTATCATGCTAAGCAAAATGAGTCAGAAAGAGAGGGATAGACATAAAAAGATCGCATTCATCTGGGGGACATAAAGTAACAAAATAGGAGATTAATACCCAAGAATAGCCGAGATCAGTACTGGGAGGATTACTCCATGGCTTAGAGGCCAGCCGGGCATTCTAGGGGAAAGGGCAGCTCAGATAGAGAAGGGAGCACCAAATAAAGGGTGTTTGGAGGATCCTCCCAGGATGGGAGATGAATGTTGATAGTGGACTATGGATTGAACACAATTGTCACTCAATGCCTCTTTTGCAGACCACAACACCCAATAGGATTGAGAGAACAAAAGGGAATTCCCTGCCACAGAGGCAGGGTGAGATGGGGGTGATGGGGGTGGGAGGGATACTGGGATCCATGGTGGTGGAAAATGGGCACTGGTGGAGGGATGGGTATCTGATCATTGTGTAATTGAAACCCAAGCACAAAAATTTGTAAGTCTACAACTGTACCTCATAGTGTTTCACTAATAAAAATATATATATATATTCTTCTGAACTCTCTCCCCCTTTCTCCCTGTCCCTGTTCCTCTTCCTGTCCTTGTCCCTGTCCCTCTCTCCCCCCCTCTCTCCCTCCCCTCCCCTTCCCACTCCCCTTACCCCTCTCCCTCTCCCTTGTGGTCAAAATGTATATGCTGTTAGACCAGAGAAATAGTACAACAGGTAGAGCACTTGCCTGTGTGCAGCCAATTTAGGTTTGATCCCCAGCACCACATATGGTTCTCCAAGCACCACCAAGAATGATCCCTGACTACAGAGGCAGGAGTAAACCTGAGCATTGGATGTGATCCCATACCCAAAAATAAAATGTGTACACTATTTTTAAAACATGTGTTTTCTAAGATCCGTACCTTTCACCACCACCAAAAAATAAGCTTCCCTTTCTATGGTTTGTTTTGGATTGTTTTCTCTGATGCCAGGGTCTCAGTGAGCTACATACCAGCCCCAAAGTTTCCCTTTCTAAAAGGTTCTTCTGTCACTGTAATTCATAAACATTTTCTTGAATTTTATTTCCTTTTATTTTATTTCTCCTACTGACCCATGGCTCCATTACCGTTTATTCATTTCCTCAGAACTTCTGAGGAATAAATCTATTTCTCTGATATTTCTCTGACAAAGTAATTAGTTGAATTATTCAGCTAAGATTTTCAGATCTTCTTAGTAATATGCCAAGTACTCTGTTCTAGAGATATCAAGAGAAAGTATTCTCTGCCCTAAGAGGTCATCATAGACATAAAGAAATTCAGAGAAATTGACAATTAGATTATAGAATACTATAATTGCTATACTGTAACTATGTAGAAGAATAGTCAGAGAAGGTGTTCCATTCCTATTCTATTTCCCCTGCTATATTTCCAGAGTGTCGGTCTTTCATATATTGCAGGATTTGCTTAATATTAAGAAGCTTATAAAGTCCTTGGGGCTGGAGAGATAGCACAACGGGTAGGGTGTTTGCCTTGCACGCGGCCGACCCGGGTTCGACTCCCAGCATCCCATATGGTTCCATGAACACCACCAGGAGTAACTCCTGAGTGCACAGCCAGGAGTAACACCTGTGCATCACCAGGTGTGACCCAAGAAGCAAAAAAAAAAAAAAAAAAAAAAAAGCTTATAAAGTCTTTGAGCTCTTAAACCATTTTATTAAGTAACTTGAAACAGTTTCTGATCTCATTTTTTTCAACTAATATTTTAAGCATTATTCGTTTACTAAAATATATGCATATGGGATAACGTATGGTTTTAGAGGCTAGATAAAACTACCATACTGAACCTTTTTTAGTATATTCCAAAAGAAAACATAGGTCATTTGTTTTTTCATTACGATGTGGGGAAAAAACTGTAGTTAAAGGAGAATAGAGTTGTATAGTGCGCATATTTGGGGATTTTTTTTTATCTTTTTGTAATAGTTGCTCAGTGGCTGGATAGTAGAAGGTATATTATGCTATCAGAGATATAGAGAAATATTTATTAAGAACTTTGAGTTCTTTTGAAAAGTTTTAAAAAACACGGAGAAGTAGGTAAAGAAGATTCTAAACATCAATAATTGTTCTTTCCTCATTTTTGGTGGTTCTTCTGGCTCAGGTAAATTTTAGGTACTACAGAATTTGCTATAGACATTTGAATCCTCCTTTTTGGTCAACCTGTCTAAACTTTCAGGGATCTTGGTTATAAGTTTCTGTAGAAATAACAAGTATTTTCCTGGGAACCATGGCCCTAGACTAGACTGGTATCTAAAATTCAGTTCTATTAATAGAACATATGATCCTGACATTCTCACAAGATTAATTCTTTGATTCATCGTAATAAAACTTAGAGTTTTTGAAATTTGAATTCTTTTCTTTTTTCAGTAAGCATGCCCTAAATTCCTTTACTTGTAAGTTACTTTGAAGAGTTTTATGGGATTGCTAACTTGTATGATGGTCTTCAGGCAGCATACAACGACAGCACTTGGGTTACTTATCAGCTCTGTCAGTTTTTTGTGTTTGAAGTGTATTAACAAAATTTCACCCTTTCTTAGGAAGATATGGTATTTTGTTTTAATATCTTAAGCTAATTTATTTTCAGAATTTATGAACAGCTGTGTAATTATGAAGAACTTTAGGTTTAGTGATCACCAAAAATAATAAAACTTCACTAATTTTGAACCTCAATTAAGAATGAATTCAAAAGCTGTAGAGATAGCTCAGGAAGGCTGAGCACATATATGCTTTGCATGCAGGAAGCCAGAATTCTATCCCTTGGTTCTACAGGCTGTTTCCACCACCCGAAAAAAATAAGTAATTCAAAATCAAATATTTAGTATCTGCTAAAGGACATCCCAGGATCAGAATACCCCAGTTCATATTTAAGGGAAATTTACAATTACAAATTTGTCTTGCTGTTGATTAAAGACTGATAATTCTCTTTTTAGGTAATAGCATTTTAGAGATCTATACTGATTTGGTCACTGTAATACAATAGTTTTAAATTTTATTGAAGGTATACAATATCTGTATTCTCTAAGCCAACTTATTTCTTCTTTTATTGCTTGATTGCCATAAACTAGTTAATTAACAAAGTGAAAGGATTAAAACTTGAAGGGAGTGGCCCAAGTGATCGTACACTATACCAGCTATCTATCCCCTGTATTCCATAAGGTCCTGAGCACTGCCAGAAATAATTCCTGAGTGCAGAGCTGGAAGTTATCCTGGAGCATCAGCTGAGTATGGCCCAACAGTAGGTGGAGGTGGGGACAGGGAGGAATTATAGTACTTGAGATATCCTTTCAAGACTATCCACAGTATTTTTCCTCTTCTTAAAACTTAATTTTGGGGGCTGATGCGATAGTATAGCAGGTAGGGCATTTGACTTGCATACAGCCAACCCGAATTCAATTCCTAGCAACCTGTATAGTCCCCTGAGTACCGCCAGGAGTAATTCCTGAGTGCAAAGCCCAAAGTAACCCCTGCGCATTGCCAGGTGTGACCCAAAAAGCAAAAAAAAGACAACTTAATCTTAACATTCCACAAAGGTATCTTAGAATTAAGTCACATGCCTTTCATGCTTCCAAGCTTGGTTTGGTCCTTGGCACCATATGATTCCCCCAAGCACCTTAGGGAATATGCCATCCTACCCAGCACTGCCAAGTGGTACCCCACATGCCCCTCCAAAAAAGACACAATCTTATTTAAAGTTTCTAATCATCCTAATTTTATAAATTTTACTTATTTGATTTTCAGTTTTAGTTACAAAAACATTTTTGTAATGTAAAATTTTTTTAAGTATTTTTAAGAGAAATATTAACTTTTCAATATATTGGGTGTTTTTATAGGATAGTACAGCGGTAGGATGTTTGCCTTGCACGCAGTCAACTTAGCTGACCTGAGTTTGATTCCTCTGCCCCTCTTGGAGAGCCCGGCAAGCTACCGAGAGTATCTTTGCCCGCACGGCAAAACCTGGCAAGCTACCCGTGACATATTCAATATGCCAAACACAGTAACAAGTCTCACACCAGAGACGTTACTGGGCTTGCTCGAGCAAATCGATGAACAACAGGAGGACAGTGCAGTGCTAATTTTTAACATATTATCAATTTTATCATTTATGTATTACTTTTTTAATCATTAAAAATTAAATTCTAAGTTAAGATCTTTATCCTAACCAAATAAAATTATTAACTGTAATTTCTTTCATTATGTATGTGTATGTATAAATATATGTATATATGTGTGCATATATGGTATCTGTCAGGAAATATCAGACTAACTAGTTTTAATGTCAGCAGACTGAGAACTATGAACAGAAAATACGTGAGCAACAGGAACAGCTGTCATATCAACAAACTCTTATTGACAAGCTAAAATCACAGTTACTTCTTATGAATTCCAGTCAAGGTATGTACATGTTAATTTTTTATTACTTCTTGAGCCTTGTAGAGAAAAGAAAAGTGAAAATTAAGTTTTTATGTTTTATTTCTCATTGTTTCTCAAGAGTTATGAACTTAATTTTTAAATATAACTACTAAAAGTTATATATTACATTTTAGAAATGAGCACTTGCAGGATATAGAAAATGGACATTTACGTATAATAATATGTGATAGAACTTGAAGTTGATGAAACTTCCTCATATACAACTTGCCAATAAACAGTTGATTCTTTTTAAAATGTTTCTGGGGGCCGGAGAGAGTACAAGAGAGTATAAGACACTTGCCTTGCATGTGGCTACTTCAGATACCCCAGTTTCATCCCCAGCACTGCATATACGCTCCTGGGTACTGCCAGATATGACCCCCAAGTTCGCAAAAACTTTTTTAAAAAGTCTGACTTCTGACTGAGAGACAGTACAAGGGATAAGGCACTTGCCTTACATGTAGCTAGCACCTGGTTCAAATCCCCAACACCACAAGCCCAACAGGAATGACCCCTAAACACAGAGCTAGGATTAAGCCCTGAAATGAGCCCTGCCATGTATAACGCCTACCTCCCTCAGTCCCCTCCACACAAAAATGTCCACCTCCCTCAGGTCTCCCACACACAGTCAGATTTTTAAATGAAAGTTGCATATCTTAAGAATATATCATAGAGATCAGAGATCTACTACAGGGGAATAAGGTAAACCCCTGATTTATTTACTCCCAGGTACCACCAACAGTGATCTAGAACATAGAACCAGGTGTAGCCCCTGTGTACTACCTGATGTGGCCTAAATCCCCTCCCAGATATAAGTAATATTTGACTAAGTTCTCCAAGATATGTATTCAAGGATGCTCATCACAATATAATTTCTAATAATGGAAAATTGAAAAAATCTGTTAAATTATAATAATCTATATAATAAAAAACTTTGTAACCAAGAAAAGGCCCTCCCGTTGTTCATCGATTTGCTCAAGCAGGCCCAGTAACGTCTCCATTGGAGACTTTGTTGTTACTTTGTTTGGCATATCGAATACGTCACGGGTAGCTTGCCAGGCTCTGCCATGCGGGCGAGATACTCTCGGTAGCTTGCCGGGCTCTCCGAGAGGGGCGGAGGAATAGAACTCGGGTCGGCCATGTTGGCTACTTATAAGGCAAACGCCCTACCGCTGTGCTATCGCTCTAGCCCTGTAACCAGCCCTATAACAGCCCTGTAATCGCTCCAGCCCTGTAGGTCCCCGGGGGGTGCCCGCAGGCTGCAGTGCTCCTTGGCAGTGCTCATTCGGGTCTGCCCGAGCACAGCAGTCGCGGTCCAGTGCCGCTTGCCACGTCCCTGTGGTCTTGTTGTGCTCGGCATGGTGAGGGCGGCTCGTGTAATGTGGGCTCAGCCTCCCGCACGGACGGGGAAGAAACCGTGGCTGTTGCTTGTAACCAAGAAAATTGATAATAATAAAATTTTATTTACTAACATGAAACATTTGCAAAGTATAGGAAAATGAACAAAGCAGAATATAAAAATAAATATATTTGTGCAAAAGAAGTATTCTTAGGTGAATTTATAAGAAAAGAATAACCGGGACTGGAGCAATAACAGAGCAGGTAGGGTGTTTGCCTTGCACATGGCTGACCCAGGTTCGATTCCCAGCATCCTATGTAGTCCCTCGAGCACCGCCAGGAGGAATTCCTGAGTGCAGAGCCAGGAGTAATCCCTGAGCATTGCCGAGTGTGACTCAAAAAGCTAAAAAAAAAGAGAGAAAAAAGAAAAGAAAAATCTTGGTAAAATGTAAACCAAACAGTTAACAGGAATAATTTGTGACAAGTGTGAGTACCAGAGAGATAGTACAGGAGTTAAGGCCTTTGCATTCCATATGGCTGACTCAGTCCCAAGTACCACATCGTCTTACACTCACCACCCAGATTTTGAATACCTTTATTTATTATTTTTTGGGGGGAGTGGGGTGGATTGTTTATTTGTTTTTGGGCCACACCTTGCAGTGCTCAGAAACTATTCTCAGCTCTGTGCTCAGGGATTGCTCCTGCCAACATTCTGGAGACCATGTGGTGCCAGGGATCAAGCCTGTAGTTTCTATATACAAAACATGTGCTCACACTGTTAAATTATCCCTTTGGCCATTTTGTTTTTTTAAAAAATTGGCCTGTTTGCATTTTCTTCTTTCCTATAATAAACATGGAATTGTTATGTCAGTAACGATCAAGAGACAAGAGGTAGGGCAGTTCCCTTGCATACAGCTGTCCCCAGTTCCATTTCCAGCCCTGCATCTAGTCCCCGAGCATCATATAGTTCATTCCTGAGCACTGGTAGGTGTGATTCATAGCTCTTGCCAAAAAATAAGTAATTTTAGATTTTGGTGTTTTTAGGTTTGGGTTTTTTGGGGGGGGCGGGGGGGATGGGGGAGCATTGTTTGGTTATTTAGTTTTGGTTTTGAGGTTGCACCCAGCAGTGCAGGGTTACTGCTGAATGTACTTGGGAACTGTGTGTGGTATTTTTTTTTTTTAAGAAATAAAAATGCATACCTGAAAGTATGACTTCGGAAAAGTTTAAATAATAAGTGGTTATCTTGAGCAGTTTTAAAACTCATACATTGAAATTTCTATACTTTAAAATTAGGATGTTTATTGGTTAACTGGTTGATTTATTTGGGTCCACGCTGGACAGTGCTGGGGGTGGGGTTCTACTGTCAGTATGCAGGAGCTGCTCTTTGTGATACTAGTGGGACCTTGAGATGCAGGATCAAACTGGGATCTCCTGCATGCAAAGCATGCACTCCAATCCATTGAGCTGTATTCCTAAATTAGGATGTTTTGTGTGTATTCTTTACTTTACCTGTAGTACTAAAAACCAATTCCTTAACTAATTCTAAGGTGTTTTTTCTTGCAGGTAACAGTGGTGTCTGTGGTCCCTTACTTGAAAACATTGAAGCAAAGAAGAATAAATTGACTTTTGATCAGTCAAATGAGAAAATGAAATCAGGAATACCAAGAGATAAAGAATCAAAGGTAAACTGCACTGCCAGTTAATTCCCTAAAGAAAGTAACACTTGAAAAATCAGTTCCACAGACTTCCTGAATTGTTTTGTGGTATTTATTTCTCAGGTTTGAGTAGGCAAAAGATGGGAAGAACATGAACAAAATTCTTTTCAGCTGTAATATTACTTATGCAATATAAAATGTTCAAATGTTGATAATACATCCTGCTTATTTTTTCTAAGGTAGAATTCTATATAGAAGAGCTTCTATACAGGAGTTCTGCTTATACAAATGACTTACCTGTTTCTAGATGCATTGTTTCCAAGTAAAGTAACAGTTTTTCCATTTCACAAACATTCAACAAAAAAATAAAAGATTAAAGATCAATAGCAGGACAGTAGATTCTGCATTAAGTTATAACATTCTCATTCTTTGATTGCTTATGCTTTTTTTTTTTAAGCAACCTTACCAGATTAAGCAGAAGTCTTCATTAAAGCATATTGGGGGGGTGGGGGGGACTGGAGAGATAGCACAGCGGGTAGGGCATTTGCCTTGCACACGGGCGACCCAGGTTCGATTCCCAGCATCCCATATGGTCCCCTGAACACCGCCAGGAGTAACCCCTGTGCATCGCCAGGTGTGACCCAAAAAGAAAAAAAAAGCATATGGGGGATGGAGGGAGTGGAATTCTATATCTAGGAGTCATATATGTTCATGCATATTATTTGAAACTGAACATTTTTACAATGATGTTAAGCACTTTAAAATATCATACATATACATATATTTATATTTCTTGATTTCAGAGACCATTTTAGCGCTGTCCTCCCGTTGTTCATCGATTTGCTTGAGTGGGCCCAGTAAAGTCTCCGGTGTGAGACTTGTTGTTACTGTGTTTGGCTTATTGAATATGTCACGGGTAGCTTGCCAGGCTTTGCCGTGCAGGCGAGATCGTCTCGGTAGCTTACTGGGCTCTCTGAGAGGGGTGGAGGAATCGAACTCGGGTCGGCCAGGCTGGCTGCATGCAAGGCAAACACCCTACCGCTGTGCTATCACTCCAGCCTCAGAGATCATTTTAAGAAATGAAAATTACAGAATATTAAAATTTAAGTTTTTAAGACAAAACTGTGGAACCAGAAAGATAATACCGGAGTTAAAATGTTTACTTTGCATGCAGCTAACTCCAGTTTGATCCCTGGCAGTATATATGGGCCCCTGAGCACAGCTGGTTGTGTCCCAGTCTCAAAAAAAATTTATGCACACACATACATATATATGTATATTTGTCGCACTACGGGGGGGGTGGGGGGTGGTCACCATCCTGCAGTTACCCAAGGGTCTCCTTGGTGTATTTAGGGTCAAATCACTGATCCCTGAGCCAGTATCTGGATGAAGGGGCTACTGGTCTGGATAATAATCAGTGGCTGTTTATTCAAGTCTCACGGCATAGTTATATAGAAGTCTTAAAGGGTTGAGGGTAGCAATTTACATATAGGTGTGGTTGACATTGTCTTAACAATGAACAGATGTAAAGACCTTTTTTCAGGGGAAGTTCTTCTAGAGGATTTAAGGACAAAATCTCATGTAAGGGCTCAGCACTAGATTACTAGGCAATCCGCCCAAGGATTTGATTCCATCTAAGGGCTGTTGCTTTCTCCTTTCCTTAGATAGTAATACATTTAAATAGTCACCTTAAATTTGTTACTAATACCATTTTGTATGAACATAGTAAGAGATAAATTAAGCTTAAAGAATGGCTCTTCCTGGGCACATCGCACTATATATCCCAGACAGTCCTCAGGCCAGGTTAGTTTTTCCTAACCCCAGCAGAGTCCTTATTCAGTTACTTCTTTTTGGATCATGACAGAGTTTGTTCTATGACTGTGCTCTTTCTTAACTTACTATGATTCTTATGGTGCTTAGCCTGGCCCATTTCGATGCCAGGGTAGCTTACAGCTTGCCCTGGTCCATCTTTGTCCCTCACTATGTCCCTCCTTTTGGGGTGTTAGGAACCAAGGGTAACTGAGGTTTATATCAAGTAAATATGATGGATGCCCAGCAGTAAATATTATTCGGAGTCGATTAACTCCCATGTTACAAAAGCATAGCATTATCTTCCTGTGCCTATACAAAAAAAGAGCATTGATCTAAAATAAGCTATGCAAAGGACATAAAGCAAAGAGGAAAAGCAGTGTTTCACTTACATATAAAAAAATTCAGAGCCCTCAGAAAAATTTGACTTTACAGAAAAGAGCTGTGGCAAATAAGGCAAATTACTAATACTTGTTAAAGGAAGGTCGTAGTGATATGTAGTTTTATGTATTTCTTTTCTCTTCAGACTGTTTAGCTTCTGATTCCATAACTAAGAACATCTTAAACTCAGTTTCTTGTTATTGTTGTTTTAGTTTGGGGTAACATCTTGCAGTGTTAAGGGGTTACTCCTGGCTCTGCACTCAGGAATTAACTCCTGACATTGCTCTGGGGATCATATGGGATGTCAGGTATCAAGCCAGGATCAGCTGTATAAAAGGCAAGCACCTACCCACTCTACTATCTCTCCAGCCCCTTAAACTCAGTATTTTTAAAAATCAAATCTGAGACAATTTTGATACTTTTCTGTGAATAAAAATGCTAGATTGAGAAGTTGTCTTTAGTTTCTCCCAGTTTCTGTTTTCATTCAAAATTTATTTTTATCTAAAAATGCTAGTAAACACAAGAAATCATTGTTCAGAGTATGTTTAGGTTTATTTTTCAAAAGGGGGAGTTCAAAATAATCATTCTGAATTAAGAATACAGTTTTATGTTTGAGTCTGTTTTACAACATCGTAAAATCATTAAACACTATAAAATACATAAATTTATTCCTTAAGTGCATTTTTCTTTGTCTACTTCCAGATACCATTATTTACCTTATTTTTTAAATCAAAATTTTGTTACTTAATGTTTTTTTAAAAAATAAAATATAGGCACTGGTAAGATAAAACAATAGTAAGGCGCTTGCCTTGCACCCAACTGACCTGGGTTTAATCTCTGGCACCACATCAGAAGTTAAGAAAATGATCTGGGGCTAAAATGATAGTACAGCAAGTAGGGTACTTGCCTTGCACATGGCTTACCCAGGTCCCACATATGGTCCCCTAAGCACTGCCAGAAATGATCCCTAAATGCAGAGCTAGAAGTAACTCCTGAGTTACCCAGATGCACCCCCCCAAAAAAAAAAATATAGTCTATCACTAGATAATCCAGTGAAATCACCTATACTTTGGATAGATTAGAGAAATTAGTTTGATGAGAAACCTGACTTTAAACTCTTCTACACCAAAGTAGTTTGCAGTCTTTTTTGACACCTAATTTGTCAAAGGGGGATTATATTTTAATAACAAATTATATAAATTGACCTCAGCACCCAACCTCTTAAAAAATATTTATTATCTGTTTCTATGAATCAGAAAAGAGATAATGTGGCTGAGAAAGTCTAGTTCAGGATCTCTTGCATTGAAGTCAGCATGTGGACAAGCACTTTAGTTATCTGAAGTCTTTAACTGGTATTAGAAAATACAGTTCCATGATGTCCTAATCACATGACTGTTGATGGGAAACTTTGCCCATGGATCTGTTCTGTCAATCTGGCAGCTAATTTTCTCAAAGTAAAAAAGATCTTAGAGAGCAAGCAAGTTATAAAATCACAATGCTTTCTATGATTTGAAAGTCTACTTCCACTTCATCCTGCTCATTAGAAACTAGTCAGTAAGTTAGTTCTCCAGGGGTGAGAGTATCACAGGCATTATAGAATGCAATACATAGAAGAGAGAACCAAAGTACCGGGTATGGAAAGTTAGAATTTAATTTTTGAATAAATACTGATGAAAGGTAAAGGAATGGGGCAGAATTTAATAGTGAATCCAACTTCCTAAATTCTTATCTGAGAAAATGAAATTCATAGCTTATCGTAACCGTTTTTTTTTTAATTTAATACAGTGATTAGCGAATAGCAGTGCTTTTATTTAGAACAGTATTTTTCATCTGGTGGGGTGGGAGGGGTATATGACCTTTCAGTGGGCCCCCAAGGTATTCCAGGGGTCACAGTGAAAATCACATAAATGAGGAGTCACAAAATGAACAAGAGGGCCAATCAGTAGGGCAGGGGGTACACTGTAAGACTATAAGGTTGGAAGGAGGACATATTTGGAATCGTTGATTAGCATTGCTTCAAATAATCAATTTTTTACTTCTAATTTTGTTATAAACAGACTTTAAACATTGAAAATATATACAGAAAATAAAATTACTTATTTTTGAATCTATAGGACACTTGTCAAACATAGTAATATATGTAATGATAATAACTAAATAGGATTTTGCCTTCAGTATAAGTTATTGATTGGCATTGATTCATCTTTTGTTTCTTCAGATGGAATTGTAACAAACGGTCATTTTTATGATCTTGTGAATAAGAGATTTTTATTACACTGTTTCTAAGAAACTTTTCAGTTGCAGAGCTAAATACCTGGATATATAGCGTTAGACACAAGTTATTCGCCCTCATTTTTATTCCACCATTTATTTTTCTGGAAGTTTTATAAAAATCTATAGTGTTTTTGATGCAAAAAACAAAATAGGAAATATTATGTAATTCTTTAAAAATATTGTGGTATTGGTAAATTTTTTTCTCTCATTCATTAACTCTATACTGTTTTGTATCTAATACTGCTGCCCATTGGAAGACTAGTTTTGTACCTGCATCTGGTTTAATTAATTTAAAAACTAAACATTATGTGTTGTTCGTTGATTGCCTTGAGCAGGCACCAGTAACGTCTCCTTCTTCCTAGTCCTGAGATTTTAAAAGAGCCATTTAAATGCTCTTTCAGAATTAGGAGTATGTGATCCATCATTGTTACTGGTATTTGGCATATTGAGTACTACACAGGAAGATTGCCAGACTTTGCCATGCGGGCAGGATACTTTTGGTAGCCTGCCAGGTTCTCCAAAGGAAAAATAAGATAATAAGATGTCGTGAGGCTGCGAATGCG